GACGCGTAGCTCGTCGTCTGCACCCGACTCCCGGGCGCTCTGGGGGCCTCGCCCGGCTGTGTGCAAACAGCAGCCCTTCCGCCGCACCCCTTCTCCCCGGAGCACCGCGCACCCCTGAGGTGCTCGGTCCAGGTCCGGAACGGCCCGAGTGCCTACTGTGCGCCGGGAGGTGGGCGGTTTCCGGGATCTGTTTTAACCGGCCCTCTGCCCGAGTCGGTGCCGAAGTGTGTAGGTGACCCATTTCCCCGAATACACCGAGAAGCAAGCCACGATCTTGCTCAGAGACCCTGATGAGACTGCACCCCTGGAAAGTTGAGGCGCCGCTTGTGGTGTTTTCCAAAGTAGTTGGAAGCTCCAGCTAGCGGGGCGGTGGGAGTTAAGGAGGGGGAGGGGAGGAGGATTTATGGACTCAGAGGGAGCTGGGAGAAGCGACTGCTTCATCCACGAGAGTTCTAAGGTTGAAGTCAGCGTAGGATTTTATTTTTTGTTATTTTTTAAGCGAATCATGGTGTAATGGAAAGCGCGCGGGACTTGTCAGTAACGCTGCCACTCTCTGCCACTCGCTGAGTGTACCACAGACCCATCTCCAGGCCTTAGTTTCCTCCGCACTTGGGTGGGTGGGTTGAAGTAGATGCTCTCCAAGGCTCCTTCCTGCATTAAGAACTCGGATTTGGTCCAGGAGCTGTTCTGCCAGCTCTGCTAACTGAAGAAACATCTGTGTTCCCAGTTCAGTCCCCTTAAAACAGAAGTCCTGCACGGAGACGTGAGTCCCTTTGAAGTAGACTTGTCCGTGCGGATTGGGCCAACCTGGGACTTCTTGGACTGGAGTTGAGCTTCCTTGGCTTTCAGGATTCTTTGTGCAGCCGTGACCATAGTGTCCAGGGTCCTTCGGCCTTGGCCGAAGGAAGATGGGATTCTTAAGAGTCTGAACAGCACAGTGGCTCTCTTCTGATAAGGAGAGAGCGCTGGAGGTCGAGCTGTGTTGTGCGGAAGGAAGAAATGCAGTGACCTGTCCCATCCCCAGCTCTCTTAAAATCAGTTCAGCTCTAGGATGCTATGTGAAGGAATTGTCACTGGAGGGCCCACCTTCCTGGTGGCAGCTGGTTTATTATCATGCATAGTGGGTCAGATTAGTACTGAAGGTCTTGTGATGAGCTATTGATCTTTTAAAAGACCCTCCCAGGTCCTGGGGTTACTACTGGGAAACTCTGAAGGCACAGACACTGCTGTAAACTTGCCTGCCACTTCCCAGGGTTGACTGCAGTGTTTTGTTGTTGGTAGGGTGAGTTTTTGTAGGCTGGCTATGATAGGTACCCTCTGGCCTCTTGCTTGTGATAAGGAATTGTACAATTTCATTGTTCTCCTCCCTTTCACTCCTGATTTCAGAAGGCAGACCTAAGAGATGATAAATTCGTATTAAAGGAAGGAAACGTGAAGGAATTTGCAAAAAAGACATTCCTTGCAGCTGTGGTAGTGTAGCTAGGAAGGGAGTATGCATTCACTGTGTAAGTAAGGTGTACCAGCTATCCCGAAGTCCTCCCCAGCCCCAGCTAGTATTTTAAACCTTTCTGCTTAATGTGCTTATTCAGTTGTTGTTATGTTCCAGCAAATGGTTATAGTTCCAAAAGGCAATCTGATGTCAGGACCATGCATTTTATTACAAGAGGCATCTGCTAGCCTTTTTAAAGGGCTGTGTGTCTCGTCATTAAATCCATGGCAACACTAATGTTTTGAGTCATTGGTTGATTGGTGCCTTCCCTAAGCACAAACCAGATTCCAGTGTCACTAGCTAAATCCCCCTCTAGCACCTTTAATGGGAAAAACTGTAAGATAAATATTGTGAGATATTCATGCAAGAGAACTCTATGTAGCTTCCAAAAGATAAATTAATACACAAGAATGTGATTTTAATATTCCACACACTTCACTACTAAAAAATTGTTTCTACTTAGTTCACTCTCTGACTAAACTCAGTATGATTTAATTTTTATATAATTTATTGATCATATGGCCTAGATTATGAGGTACTAATATATTAAGAAGAGAGACTGTTTTCTGTTTATTCTCCCACAGGAATGTATACCAAGCCTCAGCTCTTAGTATCTGGAAAAAATAAAAGTTGATGTGCTCTGAAAGTGTTATGTAAGTGGAAATATGCAAGTAGTTTAACTTGCTTCACATACCTTTTTGGGATGTTTTATTCTGGATGAAAAAACAAAAGTCAGAACTTGGTGTCAGAGAACTGCAGTGGGAGCTGTCTTTGAATAGCTGTCTTTGCCAACTGATTCTTAGATATAATTATGAGCTGCAGTAGTTCTTATGAAATTCATGGCATTTTTGCTTCCATTAAGTAATGCATATCACCTGTTTTTGCACATTAATTCTGGTGTATGGGGTTCTACAAGCTCAGAGAGAAGATTCCCAGGCAGAAATACAGTTCCACCTACTTGTCTAAGTGCTTTTAGCCTCTTTTTAAAAATACAAGTTAATTCCTTACTTGTCACTGCAACACATATGAAAACATGGCCATCTTATAGACCAGAAAACTAAGTCTCAAGGAAGGAAAGGACAGATTCTCGCACTTAAGTCAGTTTGAATTCCTCCTGACTACTCACTTTAGCAGAGGTGGAGCTGTGTCCTCACATGGGAAGTGCTGAAGCCCAGATTCTCATCAGAAAATCCTGAAGCTGGGTTTGTAGTAAGTCGTGCTGTTCCACATTTCCCAGTTACTCATGGACCCCAAAACTAACCCCAAAGAGGGCCAGCTCTTCTGCCAGTGATACAGAATTCAGGTGATCAGCACCATTTTACTTAATTTGGTTGTTTCAGAATGTTTTTGGATATTTTGCAATTAATTGGTTGAGGTAAAATTTTAGAACTGGTTTCCTATATAGGATAAATGAAATCATCATGTATTCCTCTATTTACATGTATTGTGCTATTTAAATATTACATTATTTAATAATGGGAAGAGGACAGTGTGAAATAGAGAAGGGAATGGGAGTCTTGGAGGCAAAAAGCCTCAGATTCCAAGCTGTCTCATGGCTGCAGTCTAGTTGTGTGGCTGTGGACAGGAAGGTTTTCTCTGGGTTTTAATTTTTTCCATCAGCAAAATGACTGGATGAGTGAGACATTGCTTCTCTAAGACTGTATCTTCAATCAAATTGTGCTATGTTTGGCCAAAGAATTAGCCTAAATATGTTGATTCTGGAGAGAAAGTAAACATTGCTTTTATAAGAGTTAATCCAATATGCTGAAGAACATAGATTTTTTCCTCCGGCCTTTTGCCTGCTCCTTGAAATTTATAGCAGCCACAAGTTAACAAGCAATCACAACAGGTGGCTTTTCCTGTCTTTTTGCTCAGTACATTCACTAAGTATGTTTCGGATAACCAATAGGTTTTAATAAATTAATCTATCATTGAGTCACAGAATATAGAAACATGTTTTCACTAACCAACTGTTGAGCTGTCTAGCAAAATATTCTACATTGATTGCAAAAAAAAAAAAAACACATACACACACACACAAAGGGAACTCAGTTTAGTAGATCTAAGCTCTGTTGAGTTTTTTAGGGTGGTGGAAAACCTCTATTGCCTTCTTGTCCAAAATTATTAGATTTTCTCTCTCTCAGCTGCTGCCTTTCATAACATTTTCTTTTCTTTTTTTTTCCCCCTTGTTTTTTTGGTACCGTGGATCAAACTTGGGTCCTTGTCCTTGCAAGGCAGGTGGCGGCACCACTAAGCTAAATCCTTGGCCCAATATTTTCTTATCTTAAGAGATACACCATGAGGATAGCTGCCTTTGTGAGAGACTTTGGTGGCCTTTTCCATCTTTAGCCAGTTTGACTGCTTGTCAGTTCTAGATTCTTCCTTTAACCCTTCCTGTGCAGTTGTTGGGCTGGTAGGCCCAGTTTGTCATAGCATGCCACTACCGAAACCTGGGTGAAAAGGCTTCTTTACTGCAGGGGGAGTTGTGTTTAGGGAAAATCCTACTTTGTGTGTCAGCTCAACTTAGTGCAAATTATTTGAGGAGTGATCAGTAATGGGGGTGACTATTATATAGTTAGCAAACTTACCTGATAAGAGAACCAGCTGGGGTAAAATATAGGTTCTTAGACTGTCCCAAGAGATTGAGATTCAGTAGGCTTAGGCCGTAGGCGGGGGATTCTGTACTTTATAAAATCTTTGAATGATTCTTATCAGGCAAGCCAATTTTAAAGTCACTGTATAACCATGATTGTCTTAAGGGCAACTGAAAACTGAATTAGGCTGTGGGACTTTTATCCCTATCCTGAATGTGCTAGCACTTTTGCACTGATAGGTTGTTTCTTTGTGGCCAGTGCATCTGTCTTTTTCAGGTAAGATAATCACATTTGTTAGAATTGTTTTCCAAAAAGGAACTCTATCTCTGGGTACAGGGCCGAAGGTGCCCATTGACTTTTCGTTCAAGGACTTGGTGTTGTCACTAAGTGCTGAAAGCTAGAATTTTTATTTTCTGGTTTTAAGCTAAGTAGCATGTAGTTCATGTTACAGTCAAGTGATTACACAGGATAAATGAGACATTTTTTCAGACCCTGAAGTTTGCACACGACTGAAAGGAGAAGGAAGAATAAATTCGATTCGTAAATACAGCCTTTAAAAGATCAAAGTTAGCTTGGCAAAGTATTGTAACAACAACACAGCCTTTGAATTTACCTCTCTCTGGATTTGAATTCTGACATAAAGGTAAAGTAACACCCATAGGTGTGATTAGGCAAAAATAATTTGACTTCTTCAGGAAGACT